CGGCGCGGCGTCGGGGCTCCGAGCAGCCGCAGCCTCGTCCGCGCCTTATATCTGCGCCGGGGGGCGGGGGTCCGAGCCGCCGTCGCGCGCCTGGCCGGGAGGGCTGGGGACGCGCAGAGGACACGTTGGGCACCCCCATCCTGGAGGAAGAAGCGGCGCTGAGTCAGCGCCTGGCAGGCGCAGGGGAGCGCTGGAGGCTCCCACGGGTCCATCGCCCCCTCGCACCCCACCCCTGCCAGCCTCCGGTTTCAGGCCATACCCGGGCTGGGAGGGCGCCCGGACCCTCCCAGGCAGCTCCCACCGACCCAGAACTGCACCAGTGGGACCTCAACAGGAGGAGGGGAGGGCTTGGCTGCACTGAGCCCTCAACAGCAAGAGTACCCCAGCCCTGGGAGTCACATCCCCAGAGTCCCCAGTGTTCCTGAGGCTGGAGAGAGAGCCGCTCACTGCACAGCGCCCAGAGGGCAAAGGGGGCTATTTCTCCCACCCAAAAGGGGAACTGACCCCGTGGCCCAGGGCTTCTTGACCAGAGGCATAAAAGTCCACAGGTGGGCATGGGGGCCATCACCGTTCCATGTCCGTGGGGGAAGGCCCACCCACAGGGCTGCTACTGGCGAGGCCCTCCAGGAGGAGGGCGGCAAGGTCAGGCCCCAACCAGACTGAGGGACTGGAGACCCGAGGCCCCTGGCCTGGGATCCCAAGGCCTCTCCCTGCCCAGTTCTGCCCCTGGGGTGGGTGGCCTGGGAGAACCTTCCATCTGTCTGTGCACCTCAAGCCTTCTCTCCGTTCATTCAGTGGCCCAAATACTCTAGTCACAAAGAGAAGGAAACACATCACTGCCCAGCAGAAGGGCGGGCAGACATGTATTTTTCTTATTCTTATTTTTTTTTTGTTGGTTCCTGGCTGGTCTAACACCTACTATGTGCCAGGACCCAGGAGATACATAGGATACTTGTCTTTGCCTTGAGGAGGCTGCGGCCAGCCGAGCGGGGGGGCATGGAGCGGGTGGCAGGGTAGGCCTGGGGTGACAACAAGGGGGTGCTTCCAGGGGCTGACCTCTCCTCCAGGGGCTTCTGTGCCTGCTTGGGGAGGGCTGGGGGAGGGCGGCAGGCGGAGGTTATATTATGAGGAGCTCACAGGGGCCCTGAGCTTCCTGGGAGGAGGCAGATGGCAGAACAATGAGGAAGAATAAGCCTGAATCAGGGACCCCAGGCACAAGCCCAGAGTCCCCGGTTGGGTTTGTGATTTCCCCGGGAGAGCAGAGACTTCAAGGTGGGGGTGGGCAGGCAGGCAGCTGTAAGTCAGCTCCATAGGGGACAGAGGGCACTGAGGACAGGACCTGGCTAGAGCCTGGGGATAACAGAAGAGGAGACCCAAGTGCAGGGAAGCCAGGGCGGAGGCTTTGAGGCTTTCAGGGTTAAGAGGTGAGCTGGGGAAGGCTCACAGTCCTCATGGGCACCTCCTGTCACAGAGGAAGAGAATGCAGCCGCAGCAGAGCGAACTCCCTAGGGAAGCTGCCAGGAGAGCGGAGGGCATTCAGGGCAGGGAGGCAGGTGGGCACAGGCCAGCGTGAATAGGAAGCCTGGGACCCGGGGTGGGCCTGACCCCAGTGAGCCCAGAAAGTTCAAATCCACAGATCACATTCCCGCTTTCTGCAGGCCTGCGGTGCCCCCCATCAGTCACACCCCATCTGCTGTGAGGGTCTGCCTTTCCTCCTGAGCTGTGGGCTCCTCCTGACTCCCCAGGGCTGGCACCAGTGCCAGAAACAGAGATATTATACAGACAAGAGGTTATGGAGCAGAGCAGCCTGCCCAGAACTGCCAGATGTGTTTGCAGAGCTAACAGGAGTACTCCAGGGAAGCACCAGGCAGGACCACCAGCCCCCCCATGACAGGTGACATTGGCCAGCGAGCTCACTCAGGGGCACCCCTTCCTCTCACCTTATGCTCCCCAAATGTCCTTGTCACAGTGTGTCTTCTTTTAAGAATTTCCTCCCCAGGATAAACACTGGCACTGGGGGCCCTGGCAGCTGTGTTTCTGGGCAAGGGGCAGGTGACCTTTGAGTCTGGTGAGGGTTTGGACCCAGGGCCTCCTCTCCAACAGAGGAGAAGACGAAGCTCACCAACACAGGTAGAGCAAGTGTCAAGGTGGCTCATACTGGCCATGGAGCACGGACCCCACAGGGGTGGGGGTTATCGAGAACGCGGCAGGGGAAGCGGTGCCAAGGACTCCCCAGGATGTCTTGAGACATGCTACCTGCAGTGGTCTCTGTTCAGAAGCCACCTGCAGCTCCCAGGGCAGGGACTGCTGCTACCCCAGTGGCCACCACCCCACAGGAGTTGTGGGGAACAGAGGTGGCCAAAGGAGCCTCGCAAGGGGTGTCATTCCCTAGGTAGGGGAGGCCCTCAGACATCTGGGACATCCGACCCTACACAGGGGAGTCCCAGCACCAACTAGAAGATGCCTTTAGTGCGAGCTAGGGGAGGGACGGAGAGGACAGGCTGTCACGGGATTCCCAGCACAGCCCATCTCCTTGGCACCACTACAGCCTGCTCAGGGATGTCATCCTCCCACCAGTAGGGTCCCTGGGCCCTGGCCAGGCTTGCATCAGGCTAGAGGACCTCCTGTGTCTCCCGTCTGCACAAACATGGCCCAGCCCCTGGCTCTGCTGTCTGCTCCCGCTCTCCTCTCCTACCTCTCTTCCCGGAGGTGTGACTCAGGGTTTGATGAGGGCCTCAGCAGCGCTTCATCAACATGTTTATTCATGAGCGTTTTTGTGTCAAAACACACCAAGGCTGCATCGATATTCCAAGCAAGCCAGCAACCAGAGGCCTCCAGCAAGGCTTGGGGAGCTTAATGAACTTTGCTTATTAGATAAAAGCGTCAATGTGATGAAAACAAGGGCAGCTCCAGTCCTCATTTCAACTTCACAACAGCCCCGGGGACCATTCCCAGCAGACACCACGGCCACCCAGTCCCAATGCGAGGCGGTGTCAGGTCACGCGGGAAGCTGTCTGGGCGGGCGCAGTGGGCACTGGGGCCACCTCACTCCTTGAACTTCCACTCCTGGCGGCACATGGGGCAGTGCTGCTGCACCTGCTGCGCGTTGAGCCACTTGAGGATACAGTGCATGTGGAAGCAGTGCGAGCACTGGCCCCACACCAGGGGGCAGTCATCGCCGGGCACCTTACCTGAGGAGAGGCCGGGAGGGGACAGTGTTAGGGAGGGCCCAGCCAATGGCAAGTGACAGCCAGGCAGGGACCCAGGCCGCAGCTCCAGCACAGCCCGGGGGGCCAGAGCCTCTCGTGTCTCATGCTTCAGAGAAGACAGAAACCAGGAGTGTTACCCGCTCGCTCCCATGCACAGCCCGCCCACCTCCCACAAAGATTTGCAATGACGTAGGGCTGCAGCAGTCCCTCTGCCCTCAGCTGGGCAAGAGCAGCTCAGAGGGGAGCTCAGCAGCCTCCCCGAGGCTGGCCCACCAAGCCTCCCATGCCTGACAGGAGGGGAGAAAGGGCCTTGTCTGACCTCACTGGCCCTGGGTCCCTCTGCAGACACCTGATCTGTGATGCTAAGAAGGCAAAAACGCTAATTGTTAAGGCACCAAGACTCACATCAGAGTAGTGAACTATTCTTCCTGATCCAGGGGAGGAGGGTGGGGCTGTGGGACCCAGAAGATTCCTTCCCTAGACACCAGGGCCCGTGAGCAGCAGGGTGCTATCTTCTGTCTCTTTCCTGTCTGCAGCCTGGAAGGATCCCACCTTTTATTTATTTATTTATTTATTTATTTGGTCTTTTTTGTCACCGGTAAGGGGATCGCAACCCTTGGCTTGGTGTCCGCACTGCGCTCAGCCAGCAAGCGCACCAGCCATCCCTATATAGGATCTGAACCCGCGGCGGGAGCGCCACTGCGCTCCCAGCGCTGCACTCTCCCGAGTGCGCCACGGGGTCGGCCCAGGATCCCACCTTTAAAGCTAGGGGCACAGACTGCGGGTACCTGCCTCATGCACCTGGAAATGCTTCCTCTGCAGAGAGGGCCTGGTGCAGAGAGGGCCCCTCCATATCACTCATAATCAAGAGAAACAAGTGTCCCTAATTTCCAAGAACATAGAAAGTCCACGGAACAGCTGGAGCCAGCAGAGCACACTGACTCCTCCAGTCCTGCCCCCACATCAGGGTCTGCCTGGCATCAAGGAGCTAAAGCGCATTGCCCCCACCCTGCCCTGTGGGTGCCATTCCTAGTAATGCCGCTCCTGGCCCCCACGAAGACCCCCCAACCCTGGCATTTCCAGCCTTGGCAGAACTCTGCTTGAAATCACCTGCCTGCAAGCCTGCAGATGGGGCACCCTGCTAGCCCACTGATGAGAGGTTTCTGGGCCACTCTATCCACTCATGAGAGGGCTCCCTTGGATGAAGGTGATACTCTGCTGTACTGACGTTCCCCACACGCAGCCTGCCTGGGGTACCTGAAGGTCAGGTGGATACTCTGAGATGATTCAGCAAGAGCTTGCTGGTGTCTTTAGGACACTATCTTTTTCACTCAAACAGCTCTTGACAGGACTGCTTTACTCCCGAAGCCATCTAGGTCATGGAGCGTGTTCTCTATTTATTGCCCTCAAGCCCTCAAGCTCCCAGAGTCTCTGTTGCATTTAGTCACTTTGGATTCCTCACAGGAGCTCAATTTTAGCAAGAGAAATCCAGTGCTACTTAACCTGTATAGAAAGCACATTAGGGGCCGGCCCGTGGCTCACTCAGGAGAGTGTGGTGCTGATAGCACCAGGGCCACGGGTTTGGATCCCATATAGGGATGGCCGGTTAGCTCACTGGGTGAGCGTGGTGCTGACAACACCAAGTCAAGGGTTGAGATCCCCTTACTGGTCATCTTTAAAAAAAAAAGAAAGCACATTAGACTTGTCAAATATTTCATACGTTAAAATTGGCTCACTATTAACTTAACAGCCAGCAAGCCCAAAAATTAGACTCTAAATGCCCTACTCTCCACAGTCAATAGGCCCCATCTTAACAAAACCTGTGCACACCACACAAGCGTGGAGATGCTGACTGCTCTTCAGTGTAAGATCCTGTCTGGATGCCCCAGTCACAGGCCCAGCTGGCCCGGTCCTGGCTGAGCTCCATAGGCTGGGTGTGGGTCCCCCATGTGGTCAGCAGGGCGAGCAGCTCTGGGCCTGCAGTAGCAGTGCCATCTTTAATACACAGGCTCAACCGCCCACACCGGTGAGGCCAGAAGAGGCAGCTGGGCTGGCCGCTGCTAACCATGCCTTTGAGGACTTTCAAGAAGTTAATAACCTGTTGCTCTGGAATTTGGAAGTGCTGGCCCTCAGGCTCCCATAGTCTTTGTTGTGCCCTTAAGGGCAATTTAAAAAGAAATTAATGGTCAGAGTTTGGTGCTGATAACACCAAAGTCCAGGGTTCCATCCCTGTACTGACCAGCCACCAAAAGAAAAAAAAAAGTGATGAGATTAAATAGAACCAGATCTCCTGGGTTTAGTAAAACCTAATCAAGTAGAGTCAATCAATGATTTCCTGTTTACATCCTACACTTTGGATTAAATCAGAATGGATTAACTCTGTGAGATGAGATTTCTTTTCAGCCAGCGTAGATGTAAAAATTGAGCCCAGAATAAAAAGTATTAGTACTAAAAATCAGTAATTTTATTTTCACTTACAGAAGCAAAGCCACTGTCCTCTTGTTCTCCCTGTGCAGAGCCCTGACTCTTGCTTCTGTTTTACATTCATTTTACTCAGACTTAAAACCAAATTCCCTGGTGCAAAAATCTGCTTTTAACCAAAACGTAATCAAGCGTTTCCACTTCACAGAAGGTACTGGGGACAGAGGAATGCTGCAAAAGATACCACAAAGAAAAAACTCTGGGCCGGCCTGTGGCTCACTCGGTAGAGTGCGGTGTTGATAACACCAAGGCCACGGGTTCGGATCCTATATATGGGATGGCCGGTTTGCTCACTGGCTGAGCGTGGTGCTGACAACACCAAGCCAAGGGTTGAGATCCCCTTACCGGTCATCTTATAAAAAAAAAAAAAAAAAAAAAAAAAAAAAAACTCTGAAAAAACCTGAAACCAGGGCCCTCTGCAAGAAAAAACACCATTTTTTTTTTTTTTTT